ATCCAAAGGTCAGACTTCTCGCCACTCCAGAGGCGAGATATGGAAGTCTCGCCAAGTTTTGGTCAGATCTAAAAGCCTCGCCAAAATTTGGTCAGACATAAAAGTATCGCCACAAAACGGTCAGACACAAAAGTCTCACCACAAAATGCCGAGACTTTTGTGTCTGACTACGGCTTTAAGGCCGTAACCGTCCGGCGCATTGCGGCCTTTATGTGACGGGCAGACACAAAAGTCTCGCCATTTTGTGGTGAGACTTTTGTGTCTGACCGTTTTGTGGCGAGACTTTTATGTCTGACCACATTTTGGCGAGACTTTCAGGTATGAAGTCCTTCCATCTAATTTGCAGTGTAACACATTTCTCAAGGGAACGTGACACTTCGTCACGTTCCTTACACGGTAAAAACGATACCTGGCTTTCCCAGGAGCCCTATGGCGAAGACATTTTCCGGGCGATTTCCAGGGGCTTCCTGGGAAAACCAGGAACCATTTTTACCGCGTACAAGAGAGTAAGGTTAAGCGGGTGGGGACTGACGCTTTCTTGGATGCTCTCAGATGCCTGGAAAATTGAGTTATAAAAATCAGTTTCAGCCTTGGAACCATACTTTTGTGAACAAGCGATTGGGCGAATTTCCGATCTGAAGTCAATTTATGGGCTTAGTCTCGTTATCATGTTGTATTTCTTTCAGGCTCGTCGTCACCTTGGTCAAATTCGATGACGCGAATTTTAACGCGGAGGAACGTTACTTTACGATTTCAGCAGTTTTCAATGTTCTCTGACTTATACCTAACAATAAGTCTCGTATTCACATTAATGCGCATTCATGAGAAGCGTGCTTCGCTGCACGAATTTTCTTTTGAATTCCGAAACTATTATTAGACTCCTCGTCACCAAGGAAGTTATCATGAATGCATGTGTCAGGAAGTGCCCTAGGCACTAAATTATCATTTATCACAGCAAGAGGTAAAATCAGTATTCTTAAAATGTTTTGACGTTTAGACTTCATTGAGTCTTCAACTTCAATTAACTTTTTTTATGAAGCTGCTACATTGGCAAAGCGTCGGGGCTTCTAAATCAAGGACGATAGTCTGAGGGCTTAAGGGGGGACCCTGGTGAAACTTTCAAGTAGGCTTCAAAATAATCCCAGGAAGTTGAAACTTTGCTTAGTTATGAGGTTCATTATGGTGAGTTCCCAAAATAAAATTCAATCCAAAATGTTGAACGGTCTCTGAGAAAATTGGCTTTTTAGTGTTTTTTGGAGCGTTGGGGAAAAATCTTCCTGCGTCTTTCATTGGGACGGAAAGTCTTGAAATTTTTTTTGGGTTATCCTAAAGATGTATAGAAGAGATTTTAGTGACGGAATTTTCAAATTCAACTTCTGTCCTGAGATATGAGTTTTCAAATTTCAACATTTAAAAAAAAATGATTTTTTCCCTTTTTTCAAACTTTTAGGTGTATTTTAAAAAAAGGTAGAGCTGATATCAAGATTCCGTCACTAAAATTTGTCGACAAGTCATCATTGAATAGAGTCCATGCAAGACGACTCATGTAGGTGTCAACCAGGAACGCAGGAAGTCTTTCTACGACAAAATTTTTTGTCGACTAAACAAAGCTGTGAAGTTGAGTGTAGAAGCCAACGACAACTGATCTCAATGTTATTTCCTTCGAAATGATAAAGAAACTACCCACTTAGCTTAAAGGGGTTCAACCTGTTGAATCTGAAACCTTCTATGCACATTTTTATCTATGAACTTTGAAAATACTGTTTTTTGGAATTTTGGCGATTTTTTCACCAGGGTCCCCCCTTAAGCCGTTTCGGAGGCATCAAACTTAGCATCAGCAGGTGGCACCGCTCTAAGATCTCCAATTTTTTCTTTGCAGTCCAATTGATATGCTCATCGTCCGTCTGCATCCAACGGGACATCTCAAGGGCGTGATGGAAAGCACAAGTAACTGCCTCGTGCCAGTAACTGCCCCAAGCCTCCCTTAGCGATTTTTATCGTTTATTTGACATTAATTGAATGAGTGCGTACATGGGAAGTATAGTCTAATATTTGGCCATCCTGCTCCATACAGTAACACATGCGCATTAACGTGAACATTCCATGTACACTTTTTTTTACAGCATACCTGTTGCTGTCAAGAAGACAAAAATTAGTGCCAACCTTCAGGTTGAATCTTTACACTTTCAGCCTCGCTTAGACATTGCCACCAACTGAAAGCACGTACCATAATACGATCAAAATTATGTAGAGCTAAACGGAAAATAGCGCAGTTTGAGGGGTCCTATTCAAAAGATCTTATCTGGGCATTCCCCCCAAGAGGAACTTTTCTTAAACGCAGGCGAATTTCTCTTAGTTTGATCATCTGATACAGCTACATATCAATATTATTTGTAGTTTAGTTCACGTAAATCTGATCCATGAAACCAAAAAAGCCTGTAGAAATAACTTCCGCTTTCTGTCGTATTTATCCCAAATGATCAAGAAGAGTGAAATTTGCGTGCGTTTAAGATAAGATTCTGTTGGGGGGAACGCCCAGATAAGATCTTTTGAATAGGACCCCTCGAGTTTATGTCTCTAAAAAGTTAACAAGCAAGAGACAAAGGTCAATATCAGGCTGAGAGTGTCTAGGAGTGAACCACGTACAACTCTTCACACGGCAAAAGTACCGCCTGGGATTCCCAGGCGCATCACTGAAAAGTCAAAGGACGGAATTCATTCCATCCTAGGGGAAAGAAAAAAAGTCTCGCCAATTTTTGGCGAGAAACAAAAGTCTCGCCATTTTTTTGGCGAGAAACAAAAGTCTCACCATTTCTTGGCGAGAATCAAATGTCTCGCCAAAATATGGCAATAATTGCAGCCCCACTCTATTTGATACTGGGAAATATATCCCAGTCAAGATCACTCCGGTAAACACATCACTAACTGCAGTCTTTCAATTACTCAAGTCGAAAATAATACAGGAAGCTATCACTTTCAGTTATGAAAATATTAATGTAAGGTTATATGATGTGAATTTGGTTTGCGTCAGCAAAGCGTTGCCCAACTATTTACTCTTTTTGTCATCGTTTAAAAAGACATTGGTCCAGTGAGTCAGATCCTAAAAGGTCTCTTTCAGTGTCCATGTAGTTAAAGATAATGTCTTTAATAAGAGGCATAAACAAAGCGAGATCCATGATGACACAAGTTCTTACTCACTCCTTTGACTTATTCCAATCCCCAGCTAACCTTGCTGCACTTGGGCATTGTTGGAAGTTCCATGGACAGAACTCTGTTAATAAACTCGAGGTAAGAAAGTTCCGTGCACTATCTAGCACTCTCCGTTTCGCCGTCTCCACTGGACAAAACGCCAAAACACAGCAGCACCACTTTAAATCGCGAACACAGATATAATAAAGAAAACATTTTAGTGAACAGACAAGCAACACAGCAACAAGACTGCCATGTTGAATTTCATTTGTTGTCCTCGTTGTGTCGTCTGCTACAGTAGCATTTGTTTTGCGGTAGTGCCAACCTGCACTGCCTTCCAGAAGTAATTTTACAAAAAAAGAAAAAAAATTATAGGTTGGCACTACCGCAAAACAAATGCTACTGTATGTAGCAGACGACACAACGAGGACAACAAATGAAATTCAACATGGCAGTCTTGTTGCTGTGTTGCTTGTCTGTTCACTAAAATGTTTTCTTTATTATATCTGTGTTCGCGATTTAAAGTGGTGCTGCTGTACTTTGGCATTTTGTCCAGTGGAGACGGCGAAACAGAGAGTGCTAGATAGTGCACGGAACTTTCTTCCCTCGAGTTTATTAACAGAGTTCTGTCCATGGAACTTCCAACAATGCCCAAGTGCAGCAAGGTTAGCTGGGGATTGGAATAAGTCAAAGGAGTGAGTAAGAACTTGTGTCATCATGGATCTCGCTTTGTTTATGCCTCTTATTAAAGACATTATCTTTAACTACATGGACACTGCACTGTCAGAAAATTCCGAAAAAAAATGGAAAAATCATGGAGTTTTTCCGAAACTTCTGCATGGAGCTCTCCATAAATGCAAATTCTGGGCTTTCTCCGAAAAATTTCGGAATTTTGATCAAAATTGCATGCTTCACTATAACAAAAACACGAAAAAAAGGTTTGCAACGAGTTAAAATTTGAGGAAAAGGTGAACCCTACTGCTTGAGCTCCGTTTTCATAATATAAAGAGAAAGCTACAGGATATAAGTCAAGTGAGCTCGAATGAGATTGTCCCTTCTTTGACCATTTCAGACCAAAAAATGCTTCAGCGAAATCCTCTTTAATATATGTGACAAAAGACTTGCATTTTACCTTCCATTTGGACCCAAGGAATGCTCCGAAGAACATCTGTATAAGCCCTGATAAAATCCCTCCGAAAAAAATGGAAAATGAATGGAGTCTCCATGTACGTGATTATAGGGTTTTTCTCCATAAAATTTCGGAGCTAATTTCTAACAGTGTGAAAGAGACCTTTTAGGATCTGACTCACTGGACCAATGTCTTTTTAAACGATGACAAAAAGAGTAAATAGTTGGGCAACGCTTTGCTGACGCAAACCAAATTCACATCATATAACCTTACATTAATATTTTCATAACTGAAAGTGATAGCTTCTTGTATTATTTTCGACTTGAGTAATTGAAAGACTGCAGTTAGTGATGTGTTTACCGGAGTGATCTTGACTGGGATATATTTCCCAGCATCAAATAGAGTGGGGCTGCAATTATTGCCATATTTTGGCGAGACATTTGTTTCTCGCCAAGAAAAGGTGAGACTTTTGTTTCTCGCCAAAAAAATGGCGAGACTTTTGTTTCTCGCCAAAAAATAGCGAGACTCTTTTGTCTCACCAAATTTTGGTCATCAGTCTGGCCATTCAATTTTCAGTGATCATGGAAAAAAGGGCCTACTTTCCAGGCACCGCCTGGGAATCCCAGGCGGTGCTTTTGCCGTGCAGTTTTCAAAGTATGTAGGCCACTCAGCGGTACGCAACCTCATGCCCTGCAGAAGGTGGATGCAGATGAAGTAAAGATTTCCGGCGAAGGACAGGAGGACAAATTTGGTGATGGCTTCGTCCAGTGTCCTGGTCAAGTCGGCTAGCGAGTTGTACGTTTCCCGCAGTTGACGCCATACAACATTCGGAAGATTCTAAAATCAAATGTAGACCGCACCGTGTTCAACGTTATATAAGATAAATCAGAAGCACAAATAATGTGATAAGACGGAGGTCGAGGAGTTACAAGTTAAGTCGCAAACACTGTCAACTCAAGCGTCGACATAGTAAGGGAAGGTAGGGTACCATGTGACTTTGGCTTTTTCTCCCAAACGGCTTGCTATCCAACAGCGGTAAGAACTGTCACATTCAAACGAATGTGACAATGGTACCCATCTCGGTACCCAAGGACACATGTCGTGTCACATCCAAACAAATGTGACACCCATGTACTGTCACATCCAAACAAATGTGACACCCATGGACTGTCACGTTCGTTTGAATGTGACATGCCCGGTCACATTAAAATGAACGTGACACCCCATATTCCGAAAATCATGGTGTGTTGCATTCAAACGAACGTGACAAATGCGGCATGTAACATTCAAATGAATGTGTCACATTCGTTTGAATGTGACATGACATGTGTCCGTACCACGTGTCACATTCGTTTGAATGTAACAGTGCGCCTGCTGATTGCGTGTCAGACTTGGGGTAATGTGACCAAGCGGTGCGGTGTGTCACATTTGTTTAACTGTAAATTTTCGCCGTTTGTCACGCTCAAACTAACATCGCCGTTTTCACGTGAAAACGAACGTCCCGAGGTGCCCCACTCTCCCTTACAAGAGACGCCGCAGAGGGAAGAACAAGCGATAGTTACTCAGACTTGCGCCTTGGGCGAAGAGGCAATCACTGTCGCCTTGGTATTTTGAGCACCAGTGATCGCCTCCCATCCCACAGTCAACAGCGGTCAAAATTTTGCAATACCCGCGTCTCTACATTATGTGGCAAACCTATTCCCCGACATATCTGCGAAAAGGTTTTTTGAAGGAACCGACGGTAAGTGCCTGAAAATCGCCCTTCTCTAAGCCGCCGCTCTTAGCCCAAGCGCTACGTAACTCAGGCCGACAGGCGCTGATTTTGTCCCCCGACACGTGACTGCACTGAAAAACCAAACGTGGTCTAGACCGCATCATTGGTGTGGTCAAATGGATGCCATTTTGACCGCATCAGTTGGTGTGGTCTAGACCACGTTTGGCCACGTTTGGTGTGGTCTAGACCACACCAAACGCCTCAAACGTGGTCTAGACCACACCAACTGATGCGGTCAAAATGGCATCCATTTGACCACACCAGTTGGTGCGGTCTAGACCACGTTTGGTTTTTCAGTGTGGCTGCTGCTCACCCGAGAGCACTGCGAGAAAAGATCACGGTAAATCCTGTACTGATTACTCCAGACTTCACCGTACTTTTTTAACAGGCAATACCGTGGTTTTTTTTTACAGGCAATACCGTACTTTTTTTTACAGGCCACGCCGTACTTTTTTTTACAGGGAATCCCGTACTTTTTTACCCGGCGATCCCGTACTTTTAATACCAATTAAAAACTGCTATAATTTTGTTTAGTCGGTTGATCCTCTTTTTCCAAGTTCCTGATGTACGCAACTGCTGAAGTCGGGCTCATGGACCCCCCTCCCGACCACTCGTTAGAAAGGTCTTGACGAGACCTATCGAAAGGTTCAATAAAATTTTTCAGTCGGTCGACCCCCTTTCTTCAAGATCCTGATGTGGACAATTCTTGGAAGGGGCCTTTGTTGGGACCAGATCTGGTCCTTCCTACGGCATGGACTGTACGGAAGAACGGTAACTACTGTTGAAAGACTTCGGAATATTTTGTAAAACAAGTACGGTAAATTCTGTAGACTGTACGGTGGATACTGGTTTTTGAAGTACGGTAAAGTTTGGCAAAAAAATTATCCAGGATTTACCGTCATTTTTTCTCAGAGTGAGTGAACCAAACGGGGTGTCGGCGTCGCGCAGCAATAGTAAACAGTTCAGTCTACAGGTGGCACTTCGTCTGGTTTCGTAGCCACGCGCCGTTCCCGTCCTAGCGGCGATTAAGTTGACAGGGGGCGTTCACTGTCCCCTGCACACTAAATTACAATGTAGGTTTTTCTGCGCGCTAATGCACGAAATTAAACATGCACTTCGTAACGCACGAGTTAGTGCGCGACAATGCACGAGTTCGTGCGCAAGTACTCTACAAATCGAAGAGCGTTCATTGTATGCTCTAACTGGAGCATGCCTGCAAGCACGCTCTAGCTAGCGCATGCCTGCCAAGCATGCACTTATTAGTGCATACATGCCATGAACCAGGGATCCTTAACTTAACATTTAACTAACACTGCTTTCATAACGTAACATAAGACAATGTCCGCTAAAGGTTAAGGTAGTTCGCGCGGGGCATACTAGTCAAGCGAGAGTTGAAATTTTAAAATTTGGTTTCCAGACCATAAAAAAATTATATAAAGGCCCCATCTATTTTTAACTTAGAAATCAATTCTTTGGGGACCATCTAGGCAGCGGCAAAGCGAAGAAATGATTTTAAGCTTTTAATTTAGTTGTGCACTTGACTCCAGTGTCGGCTGCTAAAACCGCGTTTTTATGTCTTTTCTCTCAAATAAGTCCAGTGACGCGCTATTTTCTCTCTTTCATTTCATTAAGTAACTGGGAATACGATATGTATGCTTTTTATCGGTTTGCCTTTACTCCAAGCATTTTAAAAACGAAATATACCAGGTTCGGATGGGCAACATAACCCTACTCCCATAAGCGGCAATGCTATTTTCGGCTACTTTCAATCGCGGATTAACACTGATTTTGCCCGGTGTCCGGGTTTGAAACTTTGCAGGTGGTTAGATCACTCACTATCCTAGGAGCCTACTCTCAAATTTTCAACTCTTTCTATACACTATAGCATGGTCGCTCGAACTACCTGAAGGGTACGGACTTAAAAAAATAACTTACCCTTTTGGAAAGATGTTAGAAGTTAAGGGTAATAACTTTAACTCTTATGATAACGTTATGATGCCCTTATGGGGTAAGTTAAGGATCCCTGCACGCTTCCTGATGCAGGCAACTCCCTATCCCGTATGCACTAGATGCATGCTTCAGTTAGCGTGTACGTGAGCAGTTCTCGCGAGATGTGATAATTTCGTGTCCTCTCTCTGGTTCTTCCAACCTAAAGTCGATTTTAACCGGGTCTTTTCCTACCTTTATGTTTTTTGACCTTGCGGACAAGGTACAACTCTCATCAAGATGAAATTTTGCCTCCTTCCACCGTTAAATTGCAAGTTTTACCCTAGAATGTAATTTCCGTGGACACTTTTTGATGTCCTACGCTCCAGATTTGGGGCTTCCCGCCTTTACTACAGCCCAAGGGAGTATGAGAAATCACTTTCGCTAAGTGCATTTTGTTCTACGCAAGTGAGGCTACGTTTTGACGTGTAGAACGTATCTCTCGGGTAAAATTTGCAGACACAAGATGATTCCGAAAATTGTCTTCCACAACTAAAATTCAAAAAGTCTAAAATCGGTTTTTTTGGGACGGTTTTTCTACCTTATGTGCGACCGTTCTGAAACTTTTCTCATATTGTTGGTGCATTCTTTCTACACAATTTGCAAAGTGGCGGAGTAATGTGGCACCATTAGAACGGAAAATATAAAGTTAAATAAGTTCCAAAGCGGCGAAAAAATTGGCCTAGCAAGCAATAAGTGTAATTTCCGTTCCACCCATTGCTTGCAGACCATTCAAAGTTTTGATTGCGAACCAATCCTTGTGTGTTTGCCTTGTGAACAAGTTGTTCCAGTAAAATTTTGGTTCCGGTGGCACTTCTGGTTTGGCTTGTACACCCCATTTTATGCAATAATGTAATTTCCGTGGACTGTAATTTCCGTGGACAAAATGAGGTTTTCGTTGCGTTTCACGTGATTTTGGCCTCGCAAGGGGCCTCAGCTCTAAAGTATGTCGATATTTTTCTGTTTTAAACCTCTCTTATGGAGGGAATGCCATCCTGGAGGGAAATGGGCATGGGGAATGGGAAGGCAAGCTGAGGAAAGTCGTGGCGTAGTTTAACACAACATCCATCAGGTTAAACCCGCCGCAAGTCACAAAATGGACCCAAACGAGCAGCGAGCCGACTTTTTGCAAGAGTCTAAGCTTTCGACTCCACTCATCAGATTGGTCAAACAATGTATTTTCTGGACAACCAAGCGGTTTTATGCTGCTTTGTTCGGCGCGGCCGGCATACTGCCTTGACAGTTGTGACTGCGAGTCAGTGAAACCGTTCAACGTTGATTATTCAGATCGGAAAGCTTAACCGAAAGCTTAATGTCTTGCGAAAAATAGGCTCGCTGTATTTTGGGATCTACCTGACCATTTAAGACTTGCGGTGGACTTAACCTGACCGATATGTTAAGCAACATGACGTTTTTCCTAAGCTTTCCGTTCGAATGCTAAGACCCAGTTTATCAAATAAATTGCAGCAATCTGTTCCTCAAACTCAAAAAGAAATCTTTCCGAATAGGTTAGTAAACGTGGGTGCCAGATATGCTTCCAGGAGGGCTAAATAGACCGCACCGCGAGCGGGCCGCTGTCTCGACCCGCCGATCAACTTTTCCTCAACTGATCGCACCCATTATTTAATATTTTCCGAACATAGACACGCAGGAACTGATCAAGAGAAACTTTCCTCCGTTGTCCACTCTAGGGCCCATCATTTGCCAAGTGTGAGAGGTACCGCCTGGGAGGTAAACACTATGCAACCGTGGTCAGAAGAAAATGAATTCACAGTTGTTCCCGAGACAAGGGAATTAAGCCGGGAGAGGTGGACACCGGACCCAGTCCTGCTCAAAGAGGCTGTACTAGGGTGCCCCCCCATGGGGGGGGGGGGGGGGGAATGTACACCTCGTCTCATACTGGTCACACTACGAGTGGGACCTTGTAGCCGCACGAGGTTCTTCTCCGCCAGTATAACGTGGCACCCCAGTAAGGACGGCCGTGTCCCGTTTGGCAGTGCACGCGGGCATGTGTCGGGCCCGAAACGGCATACGATCAAATTGTGGTCTAGCCCGAAATTTTATTGTGAGGTACGCAACATGGAACCAGAATACACAGATGTGCAGGGAGCTGCCTAAACTGCGAGGCGTTTGCGTTCGTATCGCACCTATTCTAAGGGCCCATTAAAATGTAATTTCCGTGGACAGTTTCTGAGGCTGTGTAATTTCCGTGGACGGCAAAAAAATTAAAATTGCGATATTTCCTATATTATTGGGGTGATAGCTCGCCCCGATGAATCCATGATCCCTAGTGATGTTCTTAACAAGATAAATGCAAAAAACCCGGTTTCAATTGAACTTTTTTTCAAAAAGTTTCAGGGCCCAAAATTAACCATTTCGCGAGAACTGCTCACATGGCATGTATGCACTTCTAAGTGCTTGCTTGCCAGGCATGCGCTAGCTAGAGCGTGCTACTAGCAGGCATGCTCTAGTTAAAGCATACAATGTACGCTCTTCGATTTGTAGATTATAGAGGTTAGGTTCTAAGTAAGGAATTGTCCGATCAGCTCGATTTTTGATCTGTAACGCTTGTTATGCAATGAGTGTTCGAACACTGAATTCACATTTTTATGGTCACGTGTTCTTTTAATTTTCAGTTTTTGAATTACTTCGCATGACTTGAATCAACAGGTTATGCCCCCTCCCCCCTTAACGTGTGTCGCGCAGTTGCGTTGGTAGAACCGGAGGCTGCCCCAGTGATGTCATGGAACACCACAGCTTCCTCAGTAGACGGGATTGCTCTGCTCTGAGAATGGTCATGGAACCCGAAAGAAGTCTTTTCGAATGGGTTTCGATTAAGGTATTTCAAGGTGTGGAAACAAAAGCAAGAACAAAAGCGACCTTTTTGCAGAAAACAACTCCCTTCCAAGTAGAGTAATGCCATGTGTTTGGACAGGTGTTGTTGGTTCAGATGTCTGTCTCTGCAATGTCCGCGAACACTGCTGTTTCATAAGGCCTCAAAGAACGTAAGTAACCTAGAGCGATGCAGGTGTGAGTCAGGCGTTCTCAGGCTGAGGTTGGTTTTTTGTATCTAAGATGAATACCAGACCGACTGTCCGTCGAAATACGGCAGGTATGTGACACCATTGTTTTTCAAATGACAGTGAAAGTAAGACCTTGCGGCAATGACAGGCTTTAGGGATAAGCGATTTTTATTGCGTCTCCAGTGGCAAGAGTCAGTTTTTCACTGTCTCAAGAGGCAATGAGTCGGCTTCGTTTATCGTGTCAAAGTAATAATAATACCAAAATAGGCGAATCTGTCATTCTGAAACGTGGAAATTTAACAGCCATTGCCGAAATTTGGCGATAAATGTTGATTGCCGAACACTCATCAAAACTACTACATGACAGTTTAAACTGCAAAACTCTCGTCTTGCACTTTAAACCGCAAGATCACTGTTATCCTCAGTGTGATAATGAGCTCATTTCGAAAGCAATACAATTTTTGTTGCATTGTTATTGCAATGTAAAAGTTATTGCATCGCAAGTGGCATAAATATTCTGTTGCTCGAACGAATGTTATGTCTTTATCACATCAAGATGTGATAATCTCGGCCAAAACCGGCCATATCGTAAAAAACCAATTGCATATTTGGCGCGATGTTTTTTCATTGCTGCCACAGATACGATAATTTAAAGGAATTGCGTTTTCCTTTTTATCACTGCTAATTGTATGAAAAACATTTAAAATATCAGTAACGTTGGGATACCTCTATTTTTAGGGCGCTGAGGGAAATAGAAAACATAGGGTTGACGAGCTTCAAATGCTAACGGAGAATCACCGCCAGAGAAAACAAGCAGGCTGGCGAATATTTGTTTTTACTGTGTGGCGTAAATTTTGCATTCTTCGACAGTTCTGCATGGCGTTCTCCACTGGAGCTGTATAGCGGCAATCCTTCTTCATTTCCCGCAAGACATTAATGCTGATATCGACGAGACCGGCGTCCGTGGGTCTCCACCGGTAATGTTACATGCCACATAAGCTTACATCATTGGCTGAACGATAGCAAAGCGATGAAAAAGAGGCTTTCCGTGTCCATAAAGGTGTGAATGTACACTGAAAAAATTGTAAGTTAACGGAAAAAAGTTCCACCAAACTTTTCTGGTTTAGAGACTGTCAAAGACTACAATCAAAATAACGCAGAACGGTTGTAAAATTTTGTACTTAGGCGTAACTATTGGTGTCATTTCTAAAATTGACGTGTTGGTACCGCACAAGTTCAGTGTCCATAAACGCAGTAACATTTTTCGCAAAAATGTGTCATTTCTTGTGTTTTTCTTGCTAATCTAAAATGTAAGTTTAGAGGAGGCCGTCATTCTACCAACCACTGAAAACTTAAATCGCACCTTTATTGAATAGGGTACTTTCGTAGAATCCTGAACCGGAAGCAAGCAGACCAGCAGACGCCAAATTGGCCGGAAACTAACCTATCTTCGGATCCAAACCTATAGCCGAGCTGTACAAATATTGCTCGCGAAACACATGTGCACTGCTAACAAGTATCAAACAACTGTTTATGTTCAAGTGTGGCCGATACGATCGACGAACGTCTCTTTCCCATGTCAAGTTTGGATCTACTTCCGCCAACATGGCGTCTGTGTGCTTCCGGTACAGGGATCTACGAAAGTACCCTATTGAAATTCTTGCTCGGCAGTCGGCAAACAGTTCTGCCCTCTTTCAGTAAACATTTTTCGTTTGCGGTGCGGAATCAGACCACTCCCTTTGAAACTGCCACCATTTTCACTGCAAAAAATTCCGTACTTTTGAACGGAAATGGTACAGAAATATAGTACGGAGGTACGGAGAAAAGTACGGAACGTTCCGTACTTTCTCCATATGAACCCATGTAAATGGGTACGGGAAAAAAGAACGGAACGTTCCGTAGTTGGCAAGTACGGAACGTCCCGTACTTTTCTCCGTACCTCCGTTCTATATTTTTCTGTTCCATTTCCGTGCGTAAGTACGGAATTTTTTACAGTGTTCTAAGCGTGAGACAAAATGTCTCACAACTACAAGTGTGAAACTGTCTCACAATTGGATTGGCAGAGTATATGTTAAAAGAGATGACTATTAGTTGAACCAAATTTGAATCACGGCCGCACACTAAATGTCTTATGTAGTTTATTGTCCATAGCTATGGCCGTTTTTGTACATACAGAACTTATGTACAAATTTGTACATAAATTAGGAACAATATTTCCATATTGTGCTTAAGTATGTAAAAAATTGTACCTAATTTATGTACAAATTTGTACATAACTTCAGTATGCACAAATACGGCCATAGTTATGGACATAAAGCGACATAAAGTCCATAAGCATTTAGTGTGCGCACGACTTTTCGTTCGTAAGCTACGAATGCGATTAGGAAGTGAAGTTCAGAGGCTCCGGCCTCTCCCTCCACTGCCCGCTGTGTGTCTCTCTCTGTCACTCTCCCAAAACCGCAAAAGAAGAAAAGGGAGAGAGAAGGCGAAAGAAGAGTGAACTCTAAGTGGGAAAGGACAAAATTGTATACAGCCTAGTTGTGTCTTTGTGCACTTCTATACTGCATGCCAAATTATCTCCAGTCAACGCTCAAAATAGGCTATTATGTTCCTAGATTGGAGACAAGTTTGAATCTACTCTGGATGTGCGTAAAGACCCAACTGCGCTGGATGCAATATTGCCCGCTCCCATGGAGAGTGTGGACTGAGGAAGTTAGTGCTCTTATATTCCTTAAGGCGGTCTGTGAGTTCATCATACTTATCGCATTTCTGTACACTGTAAATGCTACGGCCTCTTTGTATGCATACCAAAATTTCGTCATTCTTCTGCTTTCTCAATGACGAAGGGCAATTTCAGTCCACTGCAAGTGACTCTTGAGAGCACATCCTGAAAGATGCAAAAATTCAGCCTGAAACGTAACAAAATTGCATCTGCCACAGGACAAATTTTATTTTCGTCCAGGGGTGAGATACAATTTTTCACGTTTCAGGCTATTATTATATGCATCTTTCAGGATGTGCTCACAGAAGTCACTTTTGCAATGGATAAAAAATGGCTCTTGTCATTTAGAGTGTTAATTGGTATTTTCACCTAGAAGTATGCCGAACTCCGCATTCAAAGAGGCCGTAGCATTCACAGTGTGCGGAAGGTGCGTGAAAGGAAGGTGCACTGTTTAAAAATTTACCGTTGTCAAAACAGTTAAAACCTGTTATTTGTTAACACAATAATAAACCGTAATTCTATTGTAAATTGTATGCTACGGGACGTTGAATCGTCGTACCTTTACCGTGTCTTTCCAAGGACTATGACGGTATTGACGGTTTACTGTTTTCACTACTGTTGGTTTTATTTTACAGTGTGGCAGAAATCAGTGTTTGAGGCTTCCTCCACGTAAATTTTACAAAACTTTGACTATCTTGACTTGCAGTGAGGGGTATCAATCACTGATATTTTAAGTGAGAGGTATTTTGATGATTAAACACAACTAAAAGTTTAATTTTGCTTCCCAGGATGTCATTGCTCAGCTACACGGTTTCTCAACTGAGCGTCATTCAGTGACCACTGAAGATGGCTTTATCCTTGATCTCTTCAGACTTCCTGCCAACGATACCGAGGAAACCAATTCACGCCCCGCAGTTCTCTTAGTTCCAGGAATTTTGTGCAACGCCGCAACATGGTTTCTTAACAATGACAAATCTATGCGTAAGTTGCAAAGTATAATCTAAACCCTTTTGTGAGAGGTGATTCAAATTTATGGCGGAAGCACTCTGCTTTATCTGTGTGTGGAACAGTTTGCCACTTGCAAGTGCAGGACGAAAAAAATCGTCAGTGACTACTTAAGAACTCCATAAAATGCACACTGTGCGAAAAAACCACAGTGAATCCTGGTTATTTTTTGCCACGATTTACTGTAGTTCAGAACACAGGATTTACTGTACCTGGCTACAGGATTTACTGTAATTTGTACAAGATTTTCCGTACTGCACCTCTGTTGCACTGTCAATCCCGTAGAAATACAGTAGATCCTGTTAAAAGAGTACAGTAAATCCTGTACTTTGAACAACAGTGGCAGATGTACTAGTCGTTACAGGATTTACTGTAGTTTTTTCGCACAGTGCAAGGCGAGAAAAATGAAAGAGTGATTCCGCAACTAATTCGCCCGGAAAAGTTCGCAAAAGGTGCTACGGGATGAGGATAGTACAATTTTGCCTTGATCAGATCCTTCGGAGAAATTAGACTTCTTTTCGATACCAGACAAAGTTCCACACTGGAAAAACGAAGATATACCTTTCGTCCTATAGGACCTACACCCAGAAAACCGTGTACGTGATTTTTCATGTAAAGGTTTTGAAGTGAAGAGTCAAACCGTGTGTGTCTGGTTCTCTTTAGCTAACTGATTCTGAAAATTAAGACCAGGATATTGAAAACGTTAGACAGCACAAGTCTAAAACGAGTTGAAAGAATTTATCCAAATCATCATCCGAACGCAATATAGGCAAAAGAATAAGAAGAAAATTCTGAATTCTTCACCGTAGCTGCTAACTAAGAGGCAATGCGCGTGGCATGCGTTCGTGGGTGACATCAAATGGACGTCATCGTGACTTCGTGTGCTTCACAATCTTAACTTCATTGTTTCGTCGTCAGTTCAGCCCTTCACCGAATGGCGTGAGATATATTAAAAGAAATAATGCAATTTTAGTTATTTTGCTTGTAGTTGTAGTGAGTTAAATTTACATCATCCTGATGTCATCATTCAGGAGGGTGCCTAAATTTTGACATTTTCTAGTCACTTGATGTCAATGTGACTTTTTTCTGTTCTTTGGGAAATGGCTTAACCTGTATATTTTTTCCTCTCTTAGAATATGCAAAGAAATGTGGGATTTATGGAGCACACTTTACTGCATGATACCCTCTTTTCGTAACACCAATTTCAGCACCAATGCGCAAGGGATTTTTGCACCACACAGTTAAAACGGAACCTAGTTTTCCCAGGAAACCAATAGTGAAGGCATAGGCGATTTCCAGGGACTTTCTGGGAAAACCAGGAACCGTTTTTATTGTGCATTAAACAATATAGTTGTGAGAAAATTAGAATTTTAAAAGACCTTTTCTATATTTTAACGTTACTTGTCTACTTCTCAAGGGTTTTAAGAGTGACTGACCGTAAATTCACATCATAAGTAAATAACAAATTTCAGAAAATGAAATCGTAAATCTACGAATATAGTTTTAGGGGAGTCTTGGGAAAGTAAGCAAATCGATGCCACAGACCAAACAGCGTGGTATAGGATGTCTTCCACTCCTGCTATACGAACTTCGATGTGTTAAGCTACCCTTGCAACACTGTAAATCCAAAGGCAATACTTTTAGTACCTTTTTTGGCGATACAATTGAGTATCGCCAATAAACGGCCTTACGGAAAAGTATTGCCTTCAAAGCGGCAATACACAAAAGTATCGCCAAAATTTGGCGATACTTTGGAGCATTGCCACGATTTGGCAATAAACGTCGAACAAATCAAGGGGCAAGACCTTGGTTTAATGCCGTGGTTTTGGCAATATCCAAAAGTATTGCCAAATTTTGGCGATACTTTTTGGTATCGCCGTTCTGAAGTCATTACTTTTCCGTAAGGCCGTTTATTGGCGATACTCAATTGTATCGCCAAAAAATGTACTTAAGTATCGCCGTTGCATTTGCAGTGAAGGCTTGCACAAAGGCTAGGCTTATGTGTTTTGCATTCGTTCATGCTACGCAAAGTCCGGTCTCCAGTTGTTTGCGCACACACCGCATTCCTTTGAGCACAGTAGCGCAGTGTGTACGAATTCTACTAAAATTCAGCATTGGGTTCCAACAGCGTACCTTCTTGCGAATGAGGGCTTTGACGTTTGGGTTGCTGCCGGCCGTGGAGTAAGATACGCCCGCACGCACACTTCACTCACCAACACCTCACGAGATTACTGGGATTATAGGTATGAGTCAGGTGATTGCTCTGACAAGACTTTTTTCAGTGTGCAAAAATTTCAATTTTGTCAGTTCTATCATAATGGTTAATTTTTAACTATGAAATCAATTGAAACTGCAAATGGGCACGATGCACATGAGATGAGCGATGAGCATAACGACCCTTGCTTCTTGTTGACTCTGCTTTACTTTCAGCTTCCACGAACAAGGGCTGTATGATGTCCCAGCGCTAATCGACTACGTCCTTGAGCACACACAAAGACCTAAACTGCAGTTTGTCGGCTACTCCATGGGGGCCGCCATGTTCCTCGTGGCCACAACCCAACTGCAGGCCTACCGGGACCGTGTGAGCCACGCATATCTGGTGGCACCTGCCGTCTACCTGACTTACTCCACCAGCCCCCTCGTCAGGTCGTTCCCTGTACTCGGGGTAAGAGTAGAAGTATGCCTGAAACCTAAAGGATCTCAAATCCTTGTGCATGGGATCCGCTGTCTCCGGACATTATACACTATACAGCTATACAATGTTTGGTACACCTTGTGAGTAGGCAAGATGCTGCACTGGAAAAACTAGTGTGATGTGTGCCACGTTTCTTGACGCACTCTCCCCAGAAAACGTTTCTTATGCACTCTCTGGACAGAGAACGTTTTGTCGTGCGGCATGCCTCTTTATGTCCCTGCATGGCGCAAAGTGCAGCAACAAAACGTTTTCACCAAGAAAGAGCGTTTCAACCAGGAGTGCATTACATAACGTCACATTAGTTTTTCCAGTGTGAAAAGCGAAGAACTCGCTCCCTGGTCTTGTGTGTCTTAGAGAGAAATAGATTAAGATCGCCCTGAAAGTCATCCTACCAACATTTTTAAGGAATGCGTATGACTCTTTTAGTCATTTTATTGAACATGAGCAATTCAGCGCTTTTAAAAATACCAGATACGACATATTTTGAGTCATTTCAGTTGACAACACTTTTTAATGTTCTTTGAGCGCTAGTCAGCTCAGGCGCTAAATGTTATTTTTACAATTATAGTGGACTCCCCCACAAAATATTGGACAGGTTCGCTGACCAGGCCCGAAGGCCTTGTCTCCATGTGAGGTAGAATGACGCTAAAGACACGTCAGAGAGGCTTATTCGGATTCAGTCTAGATGCTCCACTGTCCAGAAATCAACAACCAAATTGATCCAGGAAGCGGAAGAAGGGGATAACTAAATTTTGGCCACTATACAGGAGAAACCAAAAACTGTTAGCGGGGAAAACTAAAACAAAACAAATGAATGTTGCAGATGTAAATAATTTCAAAAAGCATTAGTAAAATTTTGAAGAAAAAACAATCAAAAGTTTAAGGATTTCTGCGACTTATCACTTTCCGCTAATGGAAAACAGAGCCAGCTCACTTTCTATTTCCTAAACAAAGAGGAATTTGGAGACAAGTCAAGTGGAACAATAGTCTGCATAATGTGTATGTTACTGTGGTGTATTTTTTGGACTTAGCTCTTTTTTTTCAAATTGAAATTCAAAATTGAGGGGGGGGGGGTGAGTTGATTCTTTTTACACTAGATTCATAAAAATACAAATTGAGTTATATCCTTTTGCCAATTTATCAAACGGACTCATGTGGACTTCGCTTGAGTTATCTCCATTTTCCAATGAAATTTAGACCGTAAAAGGGGTTAAGTTGAGTTAAACCCTTTCCCATGTGGATTTTCTCCTAAACTGCTTGGAATTCAGTCAAATAATTTGGTGTGATGATGTTAACCATTCTGAGACACAATAATAAAATAAAAACTCAAATTGAGGATAAGGCCAGTTATTCCCTTCTTCCGGTTCCTGGGTCAAATCATATCGTACAATAATGTTTACTTTCAATTATTTTTCTATGATCTGGCCAGGCATTAGACTATCTGCTGACACCTGGTGGGCTAAGTTTCGAAAATCCGGTGGTACGTAAACTTCTTGAGGAAGTATGCTCCGGCCAACTGACTGACGCAGTCTGCGCAGCTCTGCTGGGGACTCGTGCACCAGATCAGTCAGAGGTAAGCAACAACGTCTTCGCGTAAGACCACTTTCCACAGTTTTAAAGGAATATAAGAAAACATAGCATTATGTGCACAAATTTTTATACAAAAATAAGTCGAACAAAGACCCGTTATGCAAGAGTCATATTCACAAAGTTTAGCATGATAATTTATGCATCATGTTTATGCATGACTTAGGCACACTGGAAAAACAAACGTGGCGTAAGTCATGTCAATTGGTTTGACCAGTCATGCGACCGAAATTTAGGTCACACGATATGATGCGACGCCAGCTCCAGGGTATAAGGACCAAAACTGCGGTCACACTTCATAATTCAACATTTTCAGGCGTAACACTTTCAATTGCGACACGCATGTCACATAAGTATTCCAGTGCAGAAAGCTTTAATGTTTAGAGAAACAAAAACGGCCTTATACTTGAATATTCATTGATACCAAACATTATTGTTTTATCATTTCAGGAACAAGTCAAGTTCAACTATCAGTACTTCCCAGATGCGACATCAGCCAAGACACTCCTGCATTACAGCCAGGGCCAATACAAAGGTAAACCTATAAAAAGGTAATTGGTACTAGAATTTTTCCTTTTGAGGTCTTGAAAATGTTATTGAGTTCAGGAGAGTGGGCGCTAAATGCGACGCATATTCGGCTGACTAGGACCAGATGCACCTCGCGTTGCGCCTCTCCATAGACGTCCCCTATCCCCCATTGCAACACACACCAAAGGCATTGAAATCGTTTAAGACTTGCTTTTTAGGCACGAAGTAGCCTTATAGTATCCCCCAGGATTCAGCCTCGCTGGGATTTGATCGCGTGGCCCCTTATGCAAGTCAAAACCTCTCTGTACGATTTTGATGAGATTTTGCAAACTGGTACAATTCTGAGACGTGATTTCAATTCTGGAATATGGTTGAAATCTTAGTGATAAATTTTGAGAAAATTGCCGTCAAAATCACGGTTTCCATAGCAAAGCTCGACTCGTCAACGAAAAGGGAAGAGAGAGGGGGGAGCCGAGCCAAACCCAACCAATAGCATGGCTCCTTTTCGCTTGTGTACAGGTTACCCCAAAAACGGTCGCTTCTTTGAAAAAGGACGTTCGAATAAAAAACTTTCTGCGACCGTGATAGAACAGATGTAACAATAGCACAAGAGGGTTTTTTGAACGCAGTCTTTTCGTTGGCACTGCCTGATGAAAATTTTTAATGGGAATGTCTTTGCTCATGCGCGGAACAGTACACAGTCTTACCAACATGGAAACCTACACTCATTGTGAGTTTTGTGTTTGTTTCATTTTCAATGTGTATTTTCTACCACAAAATTAATCTGTACAAATTATGACATATATCTGAATATATTTTGAGGACACATGTTGAAGAAAAGATTTAAAAATATTGAAAGAATAGAACAATTTTTTCATTTATCAACTTTTTACTGAATCAATAAAACAAAATTGTATTTCTTACATTTGTCTTAGCTCTAGTTTTTGTTTGATGGTTCTTTTCATTCAGTTAGCACGATGACCACATCGCTCCACCTCGCGACTTTCAGTGCTCATGTTCCTCGAACAAGACTCACCTACGATTCGAAACCATCCCTCCTGAGTTTGTAAAGTTTGTCAAACCAACCGTCATGGTGTTGTTACGTTGTGAGTGACAACTATAACACAGAATTGAAGAAAACATGACTAGAGAACCGTAGCCTTTTGAAACAAGCCAAACAATTCAACGTCAGCAACAATGGAGGGGCAGTTTTAATGCGCGACTACTCGTGTTTTCGGCTTCGCTATTTTTGCAAGGGCGCAGACGCCGAGAAGATTGTTGATGACCCGCGAAAATTAATTTACTGCCTCCTTTCCCCCACGAACATTTTAATAATGATTGACTTCAAAGATGTTCCACTGTGGAATACATTAGCATTGGAATTTTCGAATTTTACGGCATTTTGATTTCTTTTTGTTACCAAGTTTAAATTTTGACGGGTGCCACATCGACCACATTGGTACCGCTGCCATTCGTACCCAAACCATCCCCTACCCCTTTTACACAGCTTTTTTCCTCTCTCCACACTCCTACACAATAACCATATTGACTTCGTGACTCCTAGGATTTCTTGAAATCGTATTTTTATAATTGCTTTCAGAACGATGGTTTCGGCAGTTTGACAACGGCATATTAACCAACCTTCAAGTCTACGGGTCTATCACGCCACCAAGTTATCCCCTCAGCAGTGCAACTGTTCCCACCTCAGTGTTTTACGGGGCTGACGACATTCTTGTAGGAGTTAAGGTAATTCGTTTTGACACGTGTGCCCCGCACCTTAAACACTTTCAAGGGTAGAAATGGTGAGTTGGACTTACAATAGGAGAACTGCTGGCACACTTGTACGACGTATGTGTGAGACTGGAGTTGAACATACAAGTGTTAGGCAGTTGCACACTTGGTTTGACAGAGTAAGATTCAGAGTGGGACAGGTCTTAAGATTAGGACCTTCAGATTAGGACCTTCAGATTAGGACCTCTCACTCGGAAAGATCAATGTTTCCAAATTTACACCTAAATGAGGTGCGGCTTTTAAAAATAACGATCTCAGCAAGTGTGGAAAGCAGATATCGCTCTCAAGAGAGCGAGAAAATTTACAGAAGCGTTTCTGTTCTCCTGGGTACGTCACTCTAATACTTGCACTGATCTCTTTGTTTCCAGAGTGCCGAGCAGTTAATTGAAGATCTCCCGAATGTCAAGCGCGCCGTCAAAGTCGCTGGCCTGACACACGTTGACGTCATGTTTGGTCGAAATGCGCGAGAGTCACTGTATGAACCTCTCGTGAAGGCTGTGGTCGAGGACTCTGTTTAGTCTAGTTCGGCGTCAGTAATAAATCCAAGGGGCCAGCCGCTCGAGAAATATCCCGAGAAAACTCAATGAAATCGTCGGAAATTTCGATGAAATCGTCGGACATTCAACTGAAAAATCTCATTAAATATCAGAGAAAATTTTCACTGGTCTGCCATCTTAAATAACAGCATTCCTGAATTTCGTTCCCTTCAAACACTATCACCTTTTTCGACTCCTTGACCCCAATTTTGAATTTCAAGACAAAAATAACGTGACGAAATAAAAATGTAACGTAATTTGAAATTGGGGCCAAGGAGTCGAAATAGGTGAATGTGCTTGTAGGGAGCGAAATTCAGGAATGCAGTTTACCGTCTTGCAAAGAAAGTCCTGGATCAATAGGACCGCGCACTGAAGAAATATCTTTGAAAATGTCAAAGCCATTTTCGTTAAGTTGGCGAACCCTGCCTGATTTTGTGAAATCACATAAAAGTTTGTAAAAACTTACCAGACGAAATCTCCACAAAATCCGTGGAAATCTCATATCAGTAGAAACCCCCGTGTACCCAAAGATGGCCAGTGGTTGACCCAATAAATCGCCCTTTTATTTCCCCTTCCAATATAAAACGTAAGACTGGGCTGAACATCAGGTGAATGTCGGCAATCGTCTCCCTTCCCTACACCCACAAAAATTATTTTTCAGCACGAGAGCAACACTTACTCTCGAAAGAAGAACTTTTTGCTCTCACTCGATACGAGAGCAATTCGCTCTCAGAAAATTCGATCCCGAGATGTACTCGGTTCGAGCGCAATGTTCTCGATACGAGATCCATCTGAACTCAATTGCTTTTCCGAAAGACGCATGTTCTACTCTCGCATTTTTAGCAGATGGTACCTTTACTTAAAAACATACCTAAAACTACAAGACACATAAAGGTGTCAGCTACCTTTTACGAGAGTCCAAAAACGAAGTGCGTATCCTAACAATATAGTAATAGGGGCTGGCTGCCGGGGCGGGCTGGTGCGTCAGTGGTGCGGCGCAGCCTGCGCGGAATTCAACAAGCACTCCCCGGTACAGCGCTAGCGGGCATAAACAATGGCACTCCCTCCTCGCGCGCGACGGCCTGCGCGCAACATTGACAATTCCTCCCCGCTTCAGCGCAGAGGCACCGGGTGCTCGCATTCCAACGGGCACGGCGCGGCGGTGCAGGCCACGGGACAAAGGACTCAGTTTTCCAATACAATCTTTGGAATGAGCCCATACTACCCCGTAGAAGATAACAGGAAAAGTAGCGATGCACATCGGCAACTTTGTCCCGTCCCGTACATTAAGAAACGTACGAATTTCGCCTATGTTTGACCCTGACGGGATTTAAACCTGAGTCTGTGGTTAAAATTAATGTCGTTTTCGCCATCAGCACCCTTAAGGCGATTGCCCCCCTAATTTCAAGTCATCGGATTGGGCTCAAATTTGGTACACTTGTTTGGAACACAATCATGATGCACTCCCTAAATTTTTATTTAGGTGGTTCAATTTTGAACCATGATTTTGAACCTTCAAAAGTACGAAATTTAGGTCTACTCTTGCAACGTTCACGGCCGAAGGAAGAGACTTAGATCAAATCTGACTACGGATTCTAAAAGATAAAATGTGTGCCTATTCAATGGTTTCCAGCTAAAAGTGGTGCGCAAATATTTTTTGGTCCAAAAAGGCCACCGAAAATGGTAAACTCCAAATTTTAGCGACATGATCACAAAAGTTTTGGAAAGTCAGGAAACCATTGAACGCGCCTCTCTATCCCCTTTACAAATCTGCCTTCCGATTTGTTCTGCTGTTCGTACTTTTTGAGAGAACGTTGCAAGAAAACATGACGACTTCGCCGTTCTTTTCCTCCTTTTGAATTTGGCGGTCGTCTGGCAGCGCTCTGGAAGGTGGCGCGGTGGCAGGTATTGTAACTCCGTGCAGGCCGGTCGGTGCGGCGCGACGCATTTATGATTGACAGCTGACCTGCAGCCGGGCATTGTCTGTGCCGCCTCCCCCCTCCCCCGCTCCCCCCGCGCTAAGCCGGAGCAGCAGACGAGGACCTGCCCAGCGAGCCGGGCCGCCTCGGAGTCCCATCCAGCCAGGCCACGAACGAGCTCCCCACGATTTGAACGCGTGGCACTGGCCAGAATTTGGCGAAAAGGGCCGCGTTAGGGGAAAGGGGCGTCACACCCTGGCAAAAAGGCGCATATTAAATTTAATAAATAATTAATTTGTAATTAATTAATTTTTTATTAGAGTTGACTTTAATTAAATTTTGTTAAATGCTAATTAAATCTTGTTAGTGGCCAAGAATAGAGCTATCTATGAACACGAATAGACTAATTAATAGGTCAGGCTGAAATGAAATTTAATTATTTTTAATATGTAAATAATAAGTTTTAATTATATTTAATTAAATTTATAAGCGCTAATTAGAGCTTTATTAAGCTGTAGTTTAATTAAAACACATATGATTTAATTAAATCCCTACCCACGTTAATGAAAATGTTGCATACCAGTAAGATAATAAGTGTTTAAATCTGTTATTTGAGTGTGAGACGGCATTCTCCATGGCCGACCCATTCTCCAACACTTGTGTGTCAGAGGCAAGTCTAAAAATCACATCACACTTCCTTGAGCGCGATGGAGGAGAGTGAATAGCCTGCGCGACTAGTGCATGTGGCGATGTGAGTCAACACCGCGAGCTAAGGGACTAAAGTAGACCTCAGCGCCATCTAGCGGCGGACAGACTTTTACTAAACTTAATTAAATCTTGCAGGGGATAACACCAAGTTCCTTAACATATGGCAACACCTACTTACTCGAGAGAGGATTTAACGACGAATATGACTCGACACTCTTGTTTGTCACCGGACTTTTCAAAGAAACCTTTGGCGAAATCACACTTAACATTAACTACATAAAGTCTTTATTAAAAATGATAATAAAAGCTAATAAATGTTTATTAAACCCTCTTTGTTAACAAGTTTTAATCAACATTTAAAACCTTTTATAAACGGTACTTGTTAAAATTAATTAAAGTCAATAAGCACCCGTGATAAAATTAATTAAAACACAGCCCCTAATAAAAAATTAATTAAGAATTTATCAAAATTTATTAAATGTTAATAAAAGTTTTTTACGAGGGCATTTCATCTAAGCTGTCAGATGCGAGGATTTAAAGGTCGTAGGGGTAATTTTAACTCCGATTGCAATTCGTTGTTGAACTGGTATCAAAATGACCGGAAAAGGAAAAGGAAATTGTTAGTACCCAACCGCCACAACTCAGAACTCACATTCAAATTTTAAATTTTGAAACTGGTGCGCGTCGGACTCCAGGGTGAGCCGCGCGCCTTGCCAGTCGGCCGCTGCTTCCCCCTCCATGCCCGCCTCGGCCGTCTCGCTTGCACTGTGCGGGTGAGACAGAGACGGACAATGACATCTGCTGGAGCGCACGACGTGGCCCGGGCTGCACCGGCCGCGCCGCACTGTCGCCGCACTGTCTGGCCATCGACACTGCCAAAACGCACCGCGCTGTCCGTCACTGGCCAGAATGCACGGCAAGTATGGGGCTTTCCACCCAGAACGAGGACCTTTTTATTTTTTGGAAGTACCTGACTGTGGTGCCATCTCTCGGGAAAAGGCTACACTATCTGAACGAAAATGCATGGAGTATTCGCGAAAAAGACTCTCTGTCAATACACGAAATAAGTTCCTTTAGCCGTAGCCGGGGACCGGTAGGGGGGCAAGCGCCTTAAAAACATCAGAAACAATGCAAAAACTCGAATAAAAAGAATGTTAAAAAATACCCCGCTGGGATTGGAACCCAGGTCCGAACTTCTCCGATTCGCTCGAAACTGGCACCATTGTTTTTTTTTTCTCGTCGCCCCGATTCCAAAAATACCCCTACATGCCCTCCTAGCTGCACCTGAGGCTGCATCCGTTGCCGAGATCCTCCTCGAAGTTTTTTTTAAAAAAGGGTCTGAACGCAAACCAAAATGGAACTCGGCCGGGGAGGGCACGGGGGACACTTAACTAGAGGAGATGCCACCCCAGATCGCACCTCCGCCCGCCCGCACTGTTAAAAAAAAATTCTGAAAATTCAGACTAAATGAACTGAAGAAAATTTCGCAAAAGGCACTCCTAATTTTCAGACCAACTTTTTCAGAAACACGCGGTCTGAAAATTCAGACCTGTGAATTCAGACCACTAGTCTGAATATGTATTAAGACCTCAAGTCTGAATTGGTATTAAGACCGCTGGACTCTGAAATTTAGGAATTTGGTGAGCTTAAAATTGAGATGTCTTATTTCTTAAAAAAGGTCTTCCTGGTCTGAATTTGCTTTCAGCAGTTCACTCCCATACCCCTCGCCTCCCTCTTTGTGCGCAGTGCGGGCGAGGTAATAAAGTTGATCCAACCAATGCTTTAAGAAGGATGAAAATTGCTGTGGTTAGTAAAAGTCAATTTTGTAACCTTAAGGATACTGTCAAGTAAAACTTGCATGTCCTAGAAATATTTGTCTTAGGAAGTTCATTTTCTGGTCAAAATTCCACCACTATTAGATGAATTTATTCTCAAAGTTGGGGACTCCAACTCAAATTAGTTTCTGAGTTATGGAGGTTTACGTAAACTTTTAGTCGTTTCCTCCAAATTCTTCTCACGACAAAGGATTAGCTACCCAGTCTTCAGATTCTGGCAGCTATGTCTATTTTTGCATATGAAAAAGATAGTGTTGTCAAATTTGAAAATAAAAGTCCAGAAGAGGCTGTAAAAGATAACTTACCATGCCCACTTCTATTTTTCTTCAAATTTAAAAGATTTTGCCTTATTATTGGTTTTTGGCTTTTCAGGAAAACTTAGGGAGATATTTTTTAAAAAAAGCAACACCATCTATTTCTTTTGCAAAAATAGATTTAATTACAAGTATATGAAGACTGGGTAGCTAATCCTTTGTTGTGAGGAGAATTTGAGAGAAACGACTCAAAGTTAACGTAAACATCCATAACTCAGAAACTAAAATGAGGTGGTGTACAACTCTTAGTGCATGAGTTAATGCAATTGAAAGGAACTTTACTCCAGGAATTGAGATATCTGGACAAGTATCTTAAAAAAAGTTATAAAGTCACCACTCTAAAAAAAAT